GTGGGTGTGGGTAAATGTCGTGGGTCTGAAAAAAAGTCTTCCAAAAAAAATAACAATTAAAAAATTAAAAGGCAAAAAGTTGAAAAATTCATGAAACGAAAATGTGTGCGTACATGCCAGTCCTAATCCCCTTTCCCGCGATCAGCAAAGCAAATAAGCGAACCTTTAGTACAAACGGACTCTAAAATAAAAGAAACTCTGTACACTATGTAAACCTATGGCAGGCTATAGAAAACTGGAGACTGAACTGCTTTTTCCCACAAAAATCAACATTCGTGGCTGAAACGTCCTTTCAGTTAAAGGAATGATATTTAGAATCGTTACAGCAAAGATTTTGAACACAAAACAAAAAAAATCATTAGTTTAAGGCCTGGGACTAAGGGTTTTTTTAACTGAGGAAAATGAATTATTGGCTATAACTTTGGCATAGATGATGGGACTGAGTCAAAACTCGGCACACATAAAGAACTTATCGTCCTTAACATTTTAAAGAATGAATATTGTGTTAATAAGTCACGTGATATGTCACGTGACCATTTTGCTAAAAATTGTAAATTATTGACCAATTGGTGGCCGGCTTAAGAAAGGAAATCAAGCAATAACATTTTTCTAATTCATATTAAATATTTTTAACGCTTCACGTTTGAAATGACCGTCCATTGCACTTCAATAAGAAATTATGAGGAATAACATCATTTTAAATGCCCAAATTTAATCTTGAATTTTTTAAAACTTTAATTTAAAACTTCGCGTACATTCACTCCAAACGTAGAAAGTTAGGTATGTTTATGCTCTTTCAGAAATGCCAATTTGTTTATCCGAAAAAAGTAAATTCGCCAGCAATTCGCCAGTTTCCTTCATTTTCAATTTTTGGTCTCATGACATGTCACGTGACCATAATTAAGCGTTAAGGCACAAGAAAACTTCATTTTGTTTTAGGTCTCCTAACGAGAGATATTTCCAATCATTCACATGCTCAGGACACACCTTTGATCGAGGCCTTAAACCCCTTGAGAGAATCGAGAAAACTATATTTACGTAAGGCAATAATATTTACATACAGTCTCGCCTTAACTTGAAAAGTTGAGCATGAAGGTGGTTCCTTCGTAAGCTATTAGCTAGCCTAAAACTTCTTTAACGGCGATCGTATTCCATCGGGTTAAGAAATCTTCGCTGATCGTTGGAATTTAGATCGAATACAAATTAATAGGGAGCAGCTACTTCCATTCAGCGATTCAGAGCTGTCGATCCCATACTTTCTGCAAGTTGTAAGTATAACTTACGTCTGTTTCGTTTATTTTGCGCCGATGGCACAGGTATGGATAAATCTTCATCGGCAACATGTTATGTCTTTTATATAGTGATGGTGTGAAAGGGGAGCCAAGTGGCTAAGGAAATATCGGGAAGAGGACGAACAAGAAGCCGTCACGAAAAGGGCAATCAAGGAGTTTGAGATTTTCGTTTCATAAATAAATACTTTATAACTTTTTTTCTAATTATTATTATTATTTTTATTTTATCATTTTTTTCTATACTTTTTTTACCCACGACATTTACCCACACCCACCCCCACGACCCACGACCTCTACCCACTACCCACGACATTCAGCTACACTCTAAGCAAAAAAAAAAAAAATGATCACGTGACATTTTAATGACGCTATAAAACTGTTTTCTTGGTTTTAGTGCAGTTAGGAATTTCCTTTTGCAATTTTTTTTCCCTTTGGCTTTCGACAATAAATATGTGTTATGTTTATACTAAATAGCAATGGTCACAAGACAATAAAACGGTTAAATAACGGGGTACTCCGTTTTTGCAGTACGAATTTATCCAAATTTAAAATGTCATATCTCAGCTCATACTTGAGATACCGGAAAAACTTTTTCAGCTTTCAGCTCCCCTCGAATAGTTTTCTCAAAAATACAGTGGAACCTTGATTTAACGAACCTCTATATAACAAAGCCCTCGATATAACGAATGATTTACTTCAGCCCCGTTAAAATCACAATAAAATATATGGAACAGAACCTCAATATAACGAGCCTCGATTTAACGAAAATATAACGAACACAACCCAGAAACGAAAAGATAAAACATACTTCGATATAACGAATAAATGTCATGATTATTTATTCAAAGTATTTCCCCGATTCTGATTGGCTAAAAGGACACACATAATTTACCATAACCAGCTAATGATGACCAAATTTGGAAAAATTTTGCAATTAATCAACCGATGACGTCAAAAGTGCACCTTTCTTGCAGGTTAATGCATCGTTAGCCGAGAAGACCTGGGGACGAGGTTGAATTGTTTTGGTTGTTTTAACAATGGCGGACATTTTACTCGTTTCAGAAGTAAGAACTAGGCGAAATAATAGCTAAAACATGGCAAGAACAGCAAAAGGACAACTCGAAAGGCGACATCTGCTATTTGGAGAATATCTGCGGAGCTGAACAACCCTAAACGTGCTCTATCGAAGATGAACTTAACATCGATGG